ATATGATAAGAACATGATGGATGTGGTAACTTGGACTTTTTAAACCTCCAGTCTTAAACTAGAAGAAAACAGAGTCTGTTTGAATAAGTGACTGTTGAAGCTAAATAATTTCTAACACTTCTTTTACCTCCATCCATGTATACTGTCATAGAGTTAAGCAGCAGCTGTTGCCAAAACAGGCCTTATTCCCTCCAAGTGCTGCTTCAAGGTACTGAACAAGAAGGTGTAAATACATCTGTCTTCTGCTATTTGTAGTTCTACTGGCCTCCTGCATGTCTGGCAGTAAGACAGATGGTCCTTGACACTGCACAGGATTTCAGGCACATGTATTTGCAAAAGTAAGAAGGCAGATGTTGAATATGGTAACAACACGTTTTGTCCCCTTAAGGTTTAAGCTGAGGTATCTATCTCAATTTGGATATTTAATTACCGGATCCTAGAAATCTTTGCTTTAGAAATGTAGTACTTTATGGTTATTTTATGAGTATGTGCAAAATACATAGGACATAGACCAAATAAAAACTCATCTAACCTAAGTATATAATTTTACCAACTATATTATCAGGTGTTTTCTTTCTACATAATCCATGCCAAATACTTATTGTTGATTTTATTTTCAAAATACTAGGAAAGGAGTTTTATAAAAGCAAACTTTGAGTAAATGAGAATTTCCAGAATGAAAAGAGATACACGGAAAATGAAAACTCTCATGTGCTCATCACCCTGTGACATTAATGGAGCCATCAGATTTCTCAGCAAATACAATAAAACTTAATGCCAATAATTAATGCAAATTAGCTAACTCCAGTCTTGAGAATTTGTCATAGTAAAAAAAAATTTATAAAATATAGCCTTTAGAATCAAATAGGATGAAAGCTAATGGGATGAAATATTGTCTGAGATTTGCTTCAAAACTCAGCGTATGGCAAAAATGAAAATTCATAGAATATAGTTGGTTCCCACAAATCAAACATTACTTTTGACGAGGCAAAATACATGTATTTTAGTGAAAATGTTAAATTTTAAGATAATCAAACCATGTATTATATTCTGAAAACTTTATGATTAAATGTTTAGATGACCTATAGTAAAAGAATGAAAAGTCAATAGGAGTTTCCGAGTATAATCAGAAAAGCCAATAGGAGTTTTGCAGAAAAGTCAATAGGAGTTTCCGAGTATAATTAACAAACACATCAGAGAGTGGCTTACGGCAGCGGTCCCCACCCTTTTTGGCACCAGGAACTGGTTTCATGGAAGTTTCACCTCAGATTATGAGGCATTAGATTCTCATAAGGAGCATGCAACCTAGATCCCCTACATGTGTAGTTCACAGTAATAGGGTTTGCACTCTTATGAGAATCAAATGCCGCCACTGATCTGACAGGAGGCGGAGCTCAGGTGGTAAAGCTCATTCACCTGGTGTTCATCTCCTGCTGTGAGGCTCAGTTCCTAACAGGCCAGGGAATGGTACCAGTCCGAAGCCCAGGGGTCGGGGACCTCTGGTTTAAGGATACTGAATCTTGTAATCCAGCAATAGTCAAGTATAAGTTATGACTGACCACTATCATCAAACTCTTATCAGTCACTGCACTCTATATTAATAGGAAGGGATAAAAAAATAGTAGATGGGGAGGGAAAAAAAGGAATAGTAGGCTGAGTAATTTGTAGTACACTAAAGCTATGCCACAAGTAGGAAATTCATTCTAGACAACAATTAAGTGGAATTGAAAAACTAATGAAATACATTCAAGAGTTCTTCTTTTGATAACTGTACTACAGTTATATAAGACAATGTCCTTGCCTTTAGAAATTACACATTGAGGTATGTAGGGATAAGGGTATATTAAGTCTGCAACTTATTCTAAAACAATTAGGAAAAACATAACATGTATACGCAGGCAGAGGGAGAGAACGTGAATGATGTGTTAGTGTATATGCAGGCAGAGGGAAAGAACGTGAATGATAAAGCAAATAAGTTGATCTATTAACATTTGGAGCCAGGTGCAGTGGCTTGTGCCTGTAATCCCAGCACTTTGGGAGGCCAAGATAGACAGATCACTTGAGGTCAAGAATTCAAGACCAGCCTAGCCAACATGGTGAAACCCCGTCTCTACTAAAAATACAAAATTTAGCTAGGCATGGTGGTGTACCTGTAATCCCAGCTACTAGGGATGCTGAGGCAGAAGAATTGCTTGAAACTGGGAGGCAGATGTTGCTGTGAGCCGAGATCGCACCACTGCACTCCAGCCTGGGAGACAGAGCAAGCCTCCATCTCAAAAAAACAAAACACAAAACAAAACAAAAAACTGGGGGATTTGGGTATACAAGAATTCTTTTGACTAGTGTTACAACATTTCTGTAAGTCTGAAATGTCACAAAAAATGTAAACCTAGTACTCATTGTGGGATGAGTATCAATTATTCTCTCTCAACACTTCAATATAAGGCATGCTAAAAAGAATTTGAAACCATGGCAGAAATAAAATGGTATGAATTGAGATACAAAGCCTAGTCAACAATATGATACAAGTATCTTAACTAACACTCATTTCAAAGCACATAAAATAACTCAAATAATATTTCATTTATTAATAATTATTAAACTATTCATAATGCAACAGAATACATGCTCCAAAAATCTGAGAACAGAGAGCAAATTTTTATAAGAAAGGAAACATAAGAATTTTATCTAAATTCATAATGTGTGGTAACACAGGAGGCCACCAAATGACTAATAGTTTCTATTCATCTTAGTGCAAAGAGAAATTGCGTAGTAATAGAGAGACAAAGAGAGCAAGAGATTTTATCTTCTTATGGAAAATTTCAAATGCTACATAAAAATGTAGACTCACTTCCTACCCCTCCCCATAAATATTATGAATTAAATTCTAACATCATATCATTTTATGCACTACACTTCAGTTACTATTTCAGAGACATATTTGGAGAAGCTCATTAGAAAAAGAGAGCTAATTCTTTGCATTCTAAAACAGGACTTATGTTAAAATTAAATAAACATACACCAGAAACAAAGCACCAGAATATGCTTTTATGACTCCAGGAGCCTTTTGAATCTTCTTAAATTTCCCTCACTCTGAATATAAAATTAAATTACAGAGAAACAATTTTGAGGATGGTTTCACTTAGATTCAGGAAAGACAGGCTAAAATTTGTAAGTGCTTTGGAGAATTGTACAATGCTGGAGTGAATCAAGATGATACAATTATGTACTGACTAACTTCAGTAAGTCAAAAAGAAACTTTAAAGTCATGATTCCAGATTTAGTCCTATTTTTATTTGATTCTACATCCCAGGAATGTAATATACAATGAAAAAGTAACCTAATTGTGAATATAAAGAACATAACCACTTCACTATTCACAGCCATTATTCTTAACTTATTTTAAAATAAACTAACAGAGGAAGAGAGAAGAAAAAGTTGAAATACAATTTAAAATTATACTTTTACTGGACACAAAGAGTTACAAAGCTGAAAAAAATTACAAAGATATACAGGCCAAATTATTGGTGCCTTAAGATGTCTGATTTGAGATGAAGTTTTGCTGAAAAATACAGCAAATGCCACAGACTCAATTTTACGTCTGCCTGCAGCAATAGGATCTCTCTCTCTCTCTCTCTTTTTTTGGAGACAGAGTCTTGCTCTATCACCCAGGCTGGAGTGCAATGGCACAATCTCAGCTCACTCCAACCTCTGCCTCCCGGGTTCAAGTGACTCTCCTGCCTCAGCCTCCCAAGTAGCTGGGATTACAGGCATCCGCCACCACACCCAGCTAATTTTTGTATTTTTAGTAGAGAGGAGGTTTCATTGTGTTGGCCAGGCGGGTCTTGAACTCCTGACCTCATGATCCACCCACCTCAGCCTCCCAAAGTGCTGGGATTACAAGCGTGAGCCACCGCACCCAGCCTAGGATCTCTTTATACACAAACACCACTCCACCTAGCTATAGGGTCAATTTCTATGTTACGGTGATACCTGGAGCCGAAAGGCCCTGTCCCTGAGACTACTGAGTATTTTTTTCACAAAAGTGACCTCTACAAACACATTAATACTGAGCACAACAAAATTAAGATATATTAACATAGCAGCCAAATAATGTAATATATTTCTTTCATTGGAAAGAACTTGAGGACTGTTTGAGGCCAAGACAGGGTTTTCTCCTTACCACTTTAATACAGAAATGTAAAAAAGTTGTTCCATTTCAAACTCGGTTAAACTTGAGGATTGCTCATTATGAAAAACAAGCAATTTGCCTATAGACGTGTATATTTTCTGATATAAAATGGATTTTCAGTGTTAATATACAATTGACTATCTAATGATATCATAGAACTAGCAGTTTATTTTCAGGAACCTAATGAAGTTTTAATATTATATTCCTAAGGGGTAGCAAACTGCTAATATAGCTAAAATAAGCACAAATAAATCAGGTGAGTCATCAAAAGTCTTTAAGGAAGTTAATGATCAAACTTAAATAAAGCCCAAATCTTGGTGTACCAGCTTTGAAAATTACCAATAACATCACATTGTCCTGACACTAATGACAGAGTAGTATAGACGATTTTTTCAAATTATTAAAAACATGGTTATCATCTAAGGTTCTCTCCATATTTTTATCTGTCAAAATTTGGGAGTCATTTCAAATCCTGAAAGAGCCAGGAAAATGAAACTGTACTTTCTTTCAGGCAAAGCCACAAGGCAGTGAGGATAAGACGAAGTAGATGGATCTGTTTTTGATTAGCCAATACTAGTTTTCACAGCTTGTCACTGCTTTGTTTTCTCGATGGATGTGTGTATACATGGTTGTGTGCGAGTACGTTTGTACAAGTTCTATGCTTTGTACTTAATCTGATGCCACTAAGTCTCATTTGAGCTGGAAATGAAGAACATAATAAAAACCACACAAAGAAAATGTACGTGTTATTTTTATTCATTCAACCTCTAAAACAGCTGTTAAGAAAGCACCAAGCCTGAGGCCTTACCCTGTTCGTTTGGTGATGGTCCCCAATGTCATTGGTTGCTTGATTTGTGCAAGAGGCATCACTACCATCAAGCTGGGGAGAGGAGAGAGCCGAGGGTTGCCAGGGTTGTTGTTGGTAAAATTGTTATAGGAGTCTTGGCTGTTCAGTTTCCCTACAAAGAGAAAAATAAAGAAAAGCATCATCAAGGGAAGTTCCCTATCTCTGATAGGGTTTTCACTGACTCCAGTAATTATTTAAGAAAGGCATCAAAGGTATAATTGATGCCAAGAGAATTATAATTATGTGGATAAGAAGAAACCAAACTATTCTTGTAGAGCTGGATGGCTTATGCCTGTAATCCTAGCACTTGGGGAGACCAAGGCAGGAGGATAGGTTGAGGTCAGGAGTTCGAGATCAGCCTGGGTAACACAGCAAGACTTCCATCTCTACAAAAAAATTAAAAATTAGCTGAGTATGGTGGTACATAGCTGTAATCCTAGCTACTCAAAAGACTGAGGCAAGAGGATTACTTGAGTCCGGGTATTCAAAGTTACAGTGAGCCATTCATACCCCTGCACTCCAAGCCCAAGTAGCATAGAGAGACACTGTCTCTAAACAAACAAAAAAGAAGTATTCTGGTAACATCAGTGTGACTTGATTATACACATATTTCAGTCTTTGGGAATTAGGGCTGAATTCCTTATCTTTCTAAAGACAGTTAAAGTGGTCTGTTGGCCTTCTTAGGTCCTTACATTCAACACAATCTGCTATTTCCCTCATACCTTGTCAATTTCTAGATAAAAACCAGCTGAGCTTTTGATAGGGATTATATTTAATCTGGAGATCCATTTGGTGAATACTGCCATTTTAACAATATTATGTGTTCTAATCCAAGAATTTAGGATGCCTTTCCCTTTACCTAGGTATTATTAAATTTCTTCCAATGTTGTTTTGTAGTTTTCAGGGTATAAGTTTTGTACTTTTTTGATTAACATATTACTATTTAATTCTTTTTCATGTAATTTGTATGAAATTGTTTTCTTAATTTCATTTTTCAGATTATTCATTGCTAATGTATAGAAGTACAGGTAACTTTTGTACACTCATCTTGTGTCCTACAATTTGGCTGAACTAATTTCATAGTTCTAATAATTTCTTCTGGATTCCTGAGGATTTTCTACATATATAATTGCATCATCCTCAAAAAAGAGATAGCTTTACTTCTTCCTTTCCAGTTTAGATTCCCTTTTTTTTTTTGCCTAACTGACCTACCTAGAACTTCTACTACTATGTTGATTCAACAGGGGAAAAGCAGACTGTGATTTATTTTTAGTTAATTTTGTGTATGTAGTGAGAGTTGAGTTTCATTGTGTTCATTCTTTTTTTAATATAGATGTGTAATTGTTCCATCACCATTTGCTAAAAAGATTAACCTTTCTCCTTTAATTGCCTTTCAACGTTTGTCAAAAACCAACTGACCATATATTTGTGGGTCTATTTCTGGATTGATCTATGTGTTCCATTGATCTATGTGTATATCCTTTCACTAATATCACATTTTCTCAATTACTATAGTTTTCTAGTGAAAAAATAATTATTTTTTTCTACAATTATATATGTTTTCTGCAATTAAATTTATTAATTAAATTTCTATTAATTGATGGATTTACAGAGAAACTCTATAAAAATTATCTCATTTTCTGTGTTATGGAATAAGTCAGTGCCTGTAATTCAACAATTCCTTCATGCAGAAAACTTCTTATTAATCTAATGTAATTTTATATCACTGTTCTTGACTGTTGATAAAAATTATCAACCCCATTTATGTGCTTAGCAATACATATGGTATTTTAAAAATGGTAACTACAGAAAGCACAAACATATACTTCTTTTTTTTTTACTAATTTGAATTAAGGTGACAAATTGATGTACACAACAAAAGAACCCCCGAAAAAAGTCCAAATTAATATCTTATTTCTAAAACGCACCCTGAAAATCAATTGCTTTAAAAATAGCATGGATTCAGAATAGAGGGAGAACTACCACATAGTATCTAATAGTAGCCTGAGAGGTAGTGAAAAGTCAAAAGTCCCTTTCTAAAAAATCATAAGATGATAGTGGCTTCAGAATTAGATAACGGCTTAACCAAATGCTATTTCTTCCTTGGACACAAATCTGTCTTTCTATATTACTCTACAGAATTATCAAGTTAAACTTTGATAAATGTCTCTTTTGTAAAATATGGGGAAAGATAAGAAATTCATGCAAATAAAATAAATCTTTCTCTATCTCCTCAATTTCTATTTCAGAATACACATTAAAGTTAACAGAAGCAATCTACACCTGTTGCAGGAATAACAAAAGACAGCATTCACAATACATACAAGATGATTTAGGCTACAACAGAGAACCTTGTAGAAAATATGAAAGGAGAAATCCCATTACAATATTATATATGTAGAAGAATATGAGAAAATCTGCTTTATAGTTAAGCCATTCAAAGTAATGTATCATCACACTCTCAAGGCCAATACAGATGTAAATAATTACAAGATTGCTATTAGACAACTATGCTAGTATTAATTTGAATTTGAAATCAGACTGCAGCTTTATGTCACAAGCTGCTGAAAATTAAGAACGTGTACATCATAGATACTTCACAACTAGTTATCAAATATTTGTTGAGTGCCTTAGCCCATGATAACACTGTAAGGGATTGTTTTCCTTGTTATCGTGAAGTTACAGTCTAACAGGTACAAACAGGAATCATTAAGTGTTAATTGTCTAGAACTAAAGATAAGTAGATGTGGGAACAGCTTTATTTGGAAAAGGGCTCGAGGAAAAGGGCAAATGGGGTATGATCTAGATTTTGAAGACTGGACAAAATATGGATAAGGGTAGGAGAGAAGGAACATTCTGGGCATGAAGGGGAGAGCAGCATAAAGGGATGCCGTTGTGTGACGAGTAGTGAGGAATCTCTTTTTTTTTTTTTTTGAGACGGAGTTTCGCTCTTGTTACCCAGGCTGGAGTGCAATGGCGCGATCTCGGCTCACCGCAACCTCCGTCTCCTGGGTTCAGGCAATTCTCCTGCCTCAGCCTCCTGAGTAGCTGGGATTACAGGCACGCGCCACCATGCCCAGCTAATTTTTTGTATTTTTAGTAGAGACGGGGTTTCACCATGTTGACTAGGATGGTCTCGATCTCTTGACCTCGTGATCCACGCGCCTCGGCCTCCCAAAGTGCTGGGATTACAGGCTTGAGCCACCGCGCCTGGCCGGAATCTCTTAACTATTGCAGAGGAGAGATAATAGAAAGCAGTGGAAGATAAAATATTTCCGTTTTTGGAGGACCTCTCAATTGAGCCAGAGGAGTAGGAACTTAGGTTAAGTTCTTCAGCAAGGGAACAGTATAGATGTTGAAGTCATTGCATTTGACAGATAAAAAGAGTGGTCTAGGAAAATGAAGTGATCCATTGAGAAGTTCCAAATCTGTGGTTTAGCTAAGCATGACTTAAAATGCTTCACTGTCTCACAAGGATAAAGGACGTCCTCAGAATAGCATACAAAGAACTTCAGACCCAGGCTTCTCAACCTGCTCCTGTGTTTATGCTGTAGAGTCCGTTTGAAACTAGCACACCTGACAGAATAAAGTAAGTTGTTTAGATTTTACATTCATGTTTATGTTTGAAGGGGTGGTGTCTGTCTTACATATTAATGGATATGGCTAGCAACTTAAAAGCACAGCTTTAATGAAACAATAGGTATATTAATAAAATGGTGAATAAAGCCAAGGTCCGGCTAACACCCTTTTCAGCCTTAGCCCACCTGCACCCAGGTGAATAATAAATAAATAAAACAAAAAATTTAAAAAAAAAAGCCAAGGTCCAAGAAGACAAAATCAGAGAAGAAGGTACTAACTCTTATAGTCTTCAATAGGGTTGTTTCAGTAGTGAGGTGGAAAAGTCAGATTGTAAGGAATAGGCAAAGGAACTGCTGATAGGAAAAATCAAGGTCACAGATACAGATCCAAGATTTACAGACTGACACTGAACAGAAGACATTAACAAAGATGACATATAGCACCAAGCAAAAGTTTGACTCAGCCTTTGCTCTTTCACTTCACACTTTTGGAGGCTTATTGGTATTAGGCCCTGTTCTAGATTCTGAAGGAGTAAGCCCAAGGGACTTCAAAGAGTTCTTAATGTAATGGTACAGAAAGACATATTAACAAAAAATGAAAAATGTGAGAAAAACATGCTAATAATTATATCTGAAAAATGACTCAGGAGCAAAAAGGAAGGAGTCACTTTTATTATCATTTTAAAGGACAACTTAAAAAGGGAGAAAAAGTATACAAATTTTGAGCATAAGGGAAGGAATCTGTATCTTCTTATTTTGCTTTTCTTGTATAAAATAAAGGAGGAGAGATATATAAATAAGTTAGTAAAACGAAAGCGCTAGCTTAGACTGAAATCTCAATAGCTGACACAGACATGTAAATAATAAACATTAAAAAAATAAATGAAATAAACATGCAAAACAGCCTTTCTTTGCAAACCTATTGTTCAAATATTTGGTTATAAATGATTTTACACTATTTATTCTGTCTTAGATTTTCTTTGAAAATTCAGCTAGAATCTAACAAACCTCCAGATTTGTCCTCCACAATACTGGAGACTCCATCAAGCTGCCTGGACTCCTGAGGACAGTGATTTACTAGTCATTAATAGCTAATAACTCAGTAAAAGTTTGCTGAATGAATGAAGGAAATATATTTATTTCCATATCCAGGAGGCAGAGAAAAATATGGCTCTACGATCTATAGAACAAATAATTCTGGAGGGGACTCAGTACTTCAGAAGGTTGCCAGATGACTGGAGTCTGCGGCTTTCAGTATTCTGCTCAGTCTCATGTTCACTGGCCCAGGAGGTCAGACATGATAACTTTAAAAATAGATCTTTAGACATTTCCATGTGGTTATATCAAGCCTGCATTTTCAAGCCAGACTTCTTCATTAAAGAAGTTTATCAGGAAGAAAACTAGGTCCAAGTGTCTGCCTTGGACCTAGATGAAGTCTGTTGCTATTCTTTTTCTTTGCTCCACTTCTCAGAAATACATAAGATACAAATAATATTTCTGAGATCTATGAGGAGGTATCACCTTTACTAACCTT